TCAGTAATTCAAATTACTTGTTCAAAATGCAAGAAGGTCTTCTCGTAATAAGAACAGGCAGAACAGGACACAAGCAGTGTCCAGGAAGAGCTAGGGATATATTAGCAGGGAAAGCGATCACAGGGTGGACAGGGACAGGAGAGGAGGACATGGGGTCAGGTATAGCAGGACCTAACTGCTGGGGATGAAGCCCTTGCTCCCACAGTCTGCTGCTCCACAATGCCTACACATCTAACCCGCTGGCAAAGCGTGAGTCTCTATCTCCCTCTTCTGTTAATACCACATAGATTATAGCACTGTTGCACTGCGATGAGTTACTTCACAAACTTGAGAAGACAGCTGTGCTGTTACTCTAAGGTTCCTGAACCCTACAGATCAGCACAAACTCTATTTAAGAGAGGAATCCAGCTTCAAAGTCAAGATCTTGCAGAATCAGAAAATGCCAGAAGTAAGTCAAGTGTGTAACATGCCTTTGGTCTCCTGGAGTTCAATTTATTTAACTTCAGTCATAACGGAACCATATAGAGTGAGATATGAAGTTGTTATAACCAATGGAGAGAGAAAGGCACCCCCAGAAGACAATTTTATCCTAAAAAGATGCATCCCTTTTCATTCAATAGAGATTATTCCAGACATCCACCGGTCATGTAGATTTTAGCTGGCTAAGGTTGCATGCTAAGATGAATCTCATCCCCTACACTCAAATGTTGTGATTAAGTTTTGACTTACATTACCTAATTATATGCTCCTGTTTCTAGAAGAATATCTGGCTCATTCGATGTCCAGAACAGATTTTTCTTTTTTTTTAATTAAACAAGATGATAGTGTAGATGATTATGCCCTACATTGCACCAGCGCTGACTTGGTACCATTTATCTTCTTTGCTTTAAGCTCTGTACCTTGGTTCCCATGTCTGCAATGCTGAATATACTATCCAATGTTACTAAGAAGGTTATGAAGATAAAAATCTAAACTAGATCTAAAATATAGGATTATGAGCATTATGAAAAACCTCATGAAGAAATTAATATTCTGTGGTTAGCACAAGATAAATAAAGGGCAAAAAAAGCCTGGGGCTCCGTGCATGACTGAGGATAATAAAGAAACACTGAGTGTGCACTGCTGGAGACACAGGAATCTTTTGGACAAACAACTCCATGAACGCTGGCAATAACGAGATCCGATTTCCTATGGGTTTCGGTCTTGCAGTGAATTAAATTTGATATTCCCAGTGCAAGCTCCAGCTGGAGTGGCTGGTTGAAGCATTTTTCAGTCTCTCCATGCAGCCTTCTCTGTCTAATAATGTATGAACTAATGCTGGAGACTCTTCTTCTGCAGAGTACTCTGCCTCTCCTCCACCCAGCACCTTATTTCCAAGGAACTCCTCAGGAGCTTACTTATCTTTTAGCTTGACCTGCCAAATGTGTTTAAAATCAGCCAGCAAGCCCCAAAGGTGCTTTAGAAGCAAAGGAATGGGGGACACAGTGTAATCTCAAAAGTACTGTTGCCATAGGAAAGGAAGGTAAAGAGATGAAGGAAGGACAGCACTGAGGCCAGCTGCTACTTCTGAATGTTCATCTCAAATGGCATCCAGCTGTTAAACATTAAATGCTACTCTCAACAGCACAGGGAAAGGTCTTAAATGGATTCTGACTGTTCCTTGCTCAGCAGATATATGTTTATTTAATATTATACTAAAATAATCTTAGTAGACAATCACTCTTGGGAGGTAGGCAGAACATAAGTTTTGATTAGTTTTACAGCAGTCTTCAGAAAAGGGCAAAAACTTCTTTTTCTCCCTTTTTTTAAAATACAGTGCCCCTCCTGCTGCTGCTAGTTTAGAAACATACCAACCACCACACCCACAAAGAAAGAAATACAAAGGCTTGTAATACATTTTTTTTAAAGCTAGTTGAGAAGAGTCCTGTTCACCAGCCATGAAACCAGACAACACCAAAGTGCAAATGCTAACTGCATTCTGAGTGGGGTTTTTTTGAGGTTTGGTTGGTTTTTGAGGACTGACTTACAAGTAAAAACAGTTCACCGGCAGCCAGAAGCATGGTTAAGGAACAGCTGCCATCTATTAATGAACAGGTTTAGGCATGTCTGAGGCTGATAAGAATTGTGAATAAATAAAACACTGATGTTATTTGTCAGCAAGTCTAAGCAAACCTCTGGAATAAGTAGTGCCATTAACATTCATTTTCTACAGCCTTTCTAATACAATTAAATCAGTTGTTATTAACTGATTGGTCTGAAAATTGTGAGTTCTGTAAGCTGTCAAATAACATTTGATTGTTTTAATGAGCCTACCCGTGTACATTACAGCTGTAGGATTGAGACCCAGCACAGAATGGCAGAGATGATCAATAACTGAAAGGTTAAGCAGCTCTTCAGCTATCTGAATTGCTGGGATACATAAGTTTTCTCCCTTCCTTAAGCCCACTACAAGTAAATCCACATAAGAAAAGACAGGAAAATGCAGCAAAATAATGACAACACAAACTTGCTGCTTTTTTTTTTCCTGTCTGACACATTTTAATGTGTTTTTTTTTCCCAATCCTCCACTGAACCACAACTTGTTCTAAATTTCAAGAGAATCAACAGTTACAGAGCTCTGTAACTCCAGACACTGATCATCCCCATCTGCAGGAGTGCTTGAACAAGAGCGTGTATAAAGAATCCTGGATTTCCTCAGATTAATACGGCCTACTGCAATGCATCTGAACATGGTCTACTGCCTGCGAGCCTGCCCTGCCTATCTATCTTACTTCTGAATGACCTCAATACACTTCCCAAAAGCAGGATTGTAATAAGCTTTTCCAGGGAGTTCCTTAAAGTGAGTTTCCTCTATGGGATGGGTAAAGCAATGGCATGCTTCCACTGGAGCATCCCATCAGTCTGAGACAGGCGGTCCTACACAGAAGTAAGCAAGCCCTATATCCTGCTACCTCAGACATAGGTGTCCTGGGCCACAGTGCTGTGCAAAGCTGTATCTTCTTTTTACAATCAGCAAGGATGTTATTTTACCACTACAGAATGGTTGTATGACTGAAGAAATCTCCGACTGGCATCTATCATGTCATTTCTCACAGTCACTAGTCACACTTCCTACCGCATTTTCCCTTTTCCAAAATTTCACCAGTTAGAAGAAGTTAAAATTCAAGTACTACATTCAGATTTCACAGTTTTGTGAACAAGCAAATTATTTTGTCGAACCTGAAAACCATGATGAAACTGTATGGTAGATTTATTTTTTTTTATTGTGAACTCTTTCTTATCAGGCCAGTGGCAAAACCTATTGGGCTAAAAGAGTCCTCGTTTAAATCAACAAATGCATTTCGCTAAAAATGGCAAATTATACACCTAAGTAATGATACGTGATGCCCCATCAGAGATTGCAAATATTTCCAGATAAGGGGAAACGTTACTACAGATAAACCTGACAAATTTGCATGGACGTACTTTCCAAACACACGTACATGCATGCAGAGCGTACCACTGCATTCTCAAGCAGCTTTAATTAAAGCCATGCAGCAGCGTAACATTTCCAACATGGTCTGAATTTGTTTGCATGTCCACACTACAAAATCAATGAATTTTCATGAAGATGAGTAGGAATACTAAAATTCTACTTTAAAGTAAAGTAAGTAACTTATTTTTAAGTAAAATAAGTGCAGGCAATCTTAAAGTGAGAAACACCCAAACATCATTTCTGCACGCTGCAGAGAATTCTCTCAGGTCTTACCCACGTGCAGTGTGCAGAAATGCTCACTTCACATATATTTGTCTTTGCAACAGTTATGATCATAGCTACTGTTTTGTAGTTTTCATGTTTCATACTAACAAACACATTCTCTATTTACAGTAGACAATGTATTTTTCATTTGCAAGAAAATCAGAGTTCTCTTATTTCAGACTTTTTGCCAACTATTCAAGGACCTGCCATTATCCCCTTGTTCTAAATGATATTTCACTGACTGCTGAGTTGCTGAGCTTCACTTTCATGCTAAAGTGATCAATTTATTTTTTTTCTCCCCCAACATAACCAACGATAGTTTGTTATTGTATAATAGGTCAGGGCCTTGATTTAGAAGCAGTCCAACCCTGAGCTATTATTCTGGCCATCTCCTATGGCTACTTAATAAAAACACTGCTACTTGTGACTTTGTCAGTAATTTTGCTCATTTATCTTTATTATGACTTCAAGAGTATTCGGAATGGAAGGCTAGTTTTGTATAACTAATATTGGTGATGAATAGCAATGATAATGCATTGCATGAAGAACATCCATTAGTGTCTAAAATAATATTCTACTGTCTAAAAATAAATTGCTACGCAAAACATTTTCAGAGCTAATTAACAATAATTCAGTCCTACAAAAGCATTGTAACTCTGAGGAGTAAGGACCCTTAAGCCAACACACTTGAGGCAGTTAAGAGATGCTGACTCTGACAGCTACAATATTGACTCTACCACTAATTAAGTCAAATCTCTAGGTCCTAATAACTTCAAAAGTGTGAGCATAAACCATCTAAACAAACAGTTATGAACTTTGGATAAAACATTTGATTGCTGAACATAAAAAGTCCATTTATTCCATCAGCATTCAGCATCTTCTCCGTGTGCGTATTTTGCAGAAACCTACAGGACAAAGGAATCTTCCTGGCACAGAAGTGGAATTACTGCAGAGCTATTAACCCCTCCCTTCAAGAAAAGCATGGGAAAGACAGCCACAAATAGAGTCTTCCTGAATTTTCACCTTGTCTTTGAACTGTATTTTACCTGCTTCCCTCTTCTGTTGTTCTCTTCTCCCACATTCTCTTCTTCAACCCCACATTCCTCCTCTATACGTATACAGCTACAGGATCCCACCCAAAATACAACTCCATAATGCAAAACCAGCACTGCTTAGCTAAACCTCTTGTATTTACAGCCTTGTTTACCCAATCTGTCAAGAAAAACCTCTCATTTTCTTTCTGCTCAGAAAAGGAGCCTACCTTTTCCAGGATTTCCTTAGTCAAGACTGAGAATGCGTCCTCAATGTTCATGTTATCTTTAGCACTGGTTTCAAAAAAGTGTATTCCATGTTCCCAAGCAAGCTGAAAAACAAATGTAGGCAATGGGACGAACAGTCTTTAGAAAAAAACACTTCCGAATACTAACAGCAAGCGATATGGAGGTGTCCTGACAGCGTCTAACATGCTATATAAACACTGATTAAGTAAATGTCACCTCAGCAAAGTATTCTGTATTCATCCTCAGTTTATAAATTTCAGGTAACTCTTAAAACATTCTTCTTAAATTTTTGCATTTTCAAAACAGCTTTTTTAACCTATCTTTACTTGTAAATAAGAATAAACTCTAGTGAGTCTGTTCTCAATGTTTTGATTTGTTTGGAAAATGAACTGTCTCCTAGGCAATTACTTAGAGGAAACTAATGGAGTGCCTGCAGAAAAGTGATAGATAAATAAAAGTAGATAGATAAAATAAAGTGATAGATAAAATAGATAAAAATGTGACAAAAACTGTAGAAAAAGAGGTATGATGAAATACAAAGAGAGAGAGAGAGAGAGAAGCACAGAGATAGCAGGCAAGCAAAAAACAGATATATGCAAAAATGGTAATAGGAGAAGAGAAAAAATACTTTGGAAAAAAAGGCAGAATAGACTTTACATTGATTGATTTTATTTAATTTACTCCTATTCTCTTATTTCCAGTGTACTTCCCTTATAGATAGCCTAGAGATATGTTGGCATAAGGAAAAAAACAACCAACAAAATTCATAGCTTTTTAAGGCACTAAACTTTTTCTAATTTATATGCTTAAACACATGGAGAAAAACAAAAACATTTGCACTGTTGTCTCCCAAGAGAAGGGGCCAAGGTAGGAACAGTATCTGTCAGAACTACATAGTGGGTTAGTCTGTTTGTCCCTTTTGCAAAGGATCTCTTCCCAGCACACATCTGGAAATGATGATCCCAGGCAAAGAAAATACCCTGCTGCTTATAACGTACAGAAAATCCTGTTCTTAATGACCACTGAAAGATTTATTTGGAAGGCTCTCCATAATGAAAAAAAGTCTAATACTGGCAGTTATGTTTGATTTCAATGAGCTCTAGAAGTAACAAATCAATGTTTGTACAACAATTCCAAAATCAGACATGAAGGTACAAGAATTTGACTTCACAATTTTAGTCAAAATATAATAAAGGTTATATTAAAGGTAGGGGGGGGGAAAAGGGAAAATGGTCTCTTTTCCAAAATGTTGTAAGAAAATGAAATTTTAAAAAAGAAGATGAGATCTGGACTGTTTCTTAAGACAGACTGCTTCATATGGGATTCTAAAACTCCATCTGACTGCTGTGAACTGCTTTCAGTATTGCTGCAGCTTGTTACAGAAAGTTAAGATCATTTGACTGTTGCCAACTGTGAATGCAAAACGATGATGCATAATGGTTCATAAAGAAAAATACAGGTAATAAAAAATACTGGGCTGATAAAAAGCAGAAGAGTGGTTTGCAGGTTATAAAGTACACAGAACGTATTATTAAATATTCCTTTTTTTCTTTCTTGTGTCACATAACAGATTCCTAGAGGCTACTTATGTGCAAACTGATGAACACAAACCATCTTCATCATGGAATTACAGAAATCATTTGGAAAGAATTACAGAAATCATTTTGAAAGATAACCCCACACGAAATGGGACTACTGGCCACATGATATGGAGTCAGCCATGACACTGCCTACCTGAGTCTTGAAATCCACTAATTTTATAACCTTTGCAGACTCCATGGCTGTATCACCCTCCTAGTGCAACTGGTTCTCCTTATCTTACCAGCTGAACCTCCCAAGCCAGGACTTGTGATTGCTGCCTCTTGCTTTATTGTCTGTCTCTACTGAGAAGAGTCTGTTTAGTCACTCCTCTAAGTACACTTCAATGTTGTAGACCAATAACTGCTCCTGAGCCTCCTTTTTACCTACCTTCCTCAGTTCTCCTCATGGATTACTGGTACTAGACCCCAATCATCTTTGGAGCTGTCTGCTGCACCCTCTGCAGTTTCTCAATGCCCTTTCTGAAATGGGGGATTCAAAGCTCAACACAATATTCCATGTTGCCTTGTCAATACTAAGCAGAGGGATTAATAATCTTCCCAGATCTACCATCTATTATCCTTTTGATGTAGCCAAGCATACTTTTAAGCAATGAGAGAACACTTGACTTGCATTCAGGTTGGTATTCATTGTAACCCGCTGGTCTTTTGCAGCAGGGCAGTAACTCGTGCCCGGGATTATTCCGTCCCAGGTGTAAATCTCAGCACTTCTTACTGGATTTCATGCTGCTTCTGTTGGCCTAGCTCTCAAGTTATCAAGGTCCTGCAGAATTGGTGTTCTCCCACTTGGTGTGCCAGTCACACCCCTAACCTCATGTCACATGCAAATCTCCTTGTATCATCAGCCAGATCACTAATGAAGATGTTGAACAAAGTGAGCCCTTCTACACACCCCTGATGTACTCTGCTTATCACTAATTACCAACACACAGCCTTCAGTTGCCTCCCCTTGCCCCTGGTAGTCCAGCCAATTTTCAGTCCACCTAATGGTCCACTTCTCCAGCCCACATTTCCTAGCTTCCAGGTGCAGATGCCATGGGAGAAGGTGACAAAAACCTCATTAGATTCAAGATATATCACAACCACTGCCCCTCCCTTGTCCACACAGTCATTTCCTGGCATCACAGAAGGCAGTCAAGGTGGTAAAGCACAATTTGCGCTCTGTTGACTATTTCAGATTATTTTTGCGTCCTTTATGTCCTTGGAAAAGGATCTGATGACAACATGCTCCGTGATCCTTCCACCGACTGAAGCAAGGCTGACTGCAGTACCCTGACCCCTCTTCCTTGCCTTTTTTAAAGACAGGTGTCATGCTGGCTACTTTGTAGTCAGCAGGGATCTCTCTCAACCACTGTGATTCTTCAGACATTTCTTTGACAGACAGTGGCCCAAATCCCATCGATCAGCTATTTCAGCACAACTGGGTGGAGCTCATCATGTCTATGGATGCAGCAAACTTTCCTAAGCAGTTTCTAATTCAATGCTTTCCCACTGCTGCTTGACCTGCTCCTTCCCAAACCACACCAATACATGCAGAGGTCTGGGAGCAAGCTCCATCTGTGAAGACCAATGCAAAAGAAATATAAAATAAAATTTTAAAACCTTCAGCCTTGTCTGTACCATGTTACTACACTCCCTACTACACCTATCAATGCGCCCCCATTTCCTCTGTACGTGCACAATATTGGTCAAAGAAGATTAATGTGTGTATATTTTGCTACATATTGCAGATTCAGACATGTAGAATTACGAGTTGCATTTTCACAACGTCTCTTTCTATAAGGTAAATACAGGTATGGTTGGTCATTGGAACAGACTCCCCAGGGAAACAGTCACAGCACCAAGCCTGTCAAGAGTTCAAGGAGTGCCTGGACAGCAATTTTAGTCATAGGCTTAGTGTGAGGTAGTCCCGCAAGGAGCAGGGAGTTGGACTCGATGATTCTTACAGGTCCCTTCCAACTTGAGATATTCCAATTCACATTGCATACTGAAAAGTATTGTGGCAAGCAAGTCCTCTAAAAATGTAGCTAGCTGGGAAAAAACCCAGCAGTCCAGTGTTAAAGCCGCTGGAAGTACAAATAGAGCTTTGGCTACTCTCTTTCATAACAAAGCTGGAGAGATACATTCAAATAATTACTTTATTTTTGCCTTTGGTAGCATCTTGAATAGATCCATAAATAAAATACCTAAATACATTTACAAACCTGTGGGAATTATGCTAGTGGGAAATGCTAAATTATCCTCAAGAACAGTTCAGAGATCTTGAGTGAAATAAGGTCATCTTTTTCTTACAATAACAAAACAAGTAATGCCAATATCTCTTCGAAGGTGAATTTTAATTCCAATTGTTCATTGCTTTTAACTCAAAATATAATACTTCCTAGCAAAGTGCTGCTATGATTTCTTAGTGTTGAATCAGAGGGATGTGTCTGAAATATTCCTAGAACTGTGTAGATATTTTTTCATTGGTATTGCACCTGTAAAATCAGCTTTGACGTCAGGCACATGAAGACAGCAAAAACAAAAAAGGAAGAGTATTTTACTTAGCTCTTTCTGTTAGAAAGATTTGATAGGAGAAAAACAGCCACATCCTACCAAGCTATATAACCTTCAATATTCCTTTTAATTTTTCAGAGAAAAAGATAATGTTATAGAGGTGGGGGGAGAGGAATGGAGGAGACCAAGAAGGTTGAGTTCAAACTTTTCTCAAAGTGAATAAAAAGTTATTAATACATGAAAATACATAATAGTGTTAAAATTAAACATATCCATTTCTGAGTGATCAAAATTATATAATTACAAAAGAAAACAAAAAATATATATTTCTTAGCATTAAATTAGTCTATAAAGTGGCATACGATGTCCACTCAGTTATGACAGATTGTTATAGAGAAGCCAACACAGATTATAAGATTCCCAGGGAATCCAGGGGTCTTCTCTGCAAGATTCTGAAGAGAACAATACTTACAGCTCATACTCACAGTGTAGTAAGAAATATGTAAGTATGAATTATTCTGTGGCAGAGTTAGTGTCAAACTATTTTCCCCTCTTAATAAGGATATTTTCTTCTTTTGAGTGAGAGGACAATATTAGCTCTCTCTCTGCTGGTGGAATCTGCCTCCAGCTGGTTTAGTCATTGTCTGTAAATCACATTCAAAGAAGAAATAGTATAACTGAAGAACTGCCTTGCCTCAAAACACAGGAGAAATCTAGAAAGGAGACTCACTGGTGAGGAGGTAATGATTTGTTTCTGAAAAAAATACTACATTAAGAGAAACTTTGATTGCATGGTTAAGCACACAGAAGTCAGAAAATGTCATGGTTAATGCTATATGCAAAACCCTACTACTGCCCTCTTGTGCACATGCATCCAGTGACTCTTCACATTTCTGGCAGTGCATTCTCTGAATGACAGTATACATGTATTTTTCAGCAACTTTATTCCTTGTACACAGATATAGTGCATTAACATTGAAAGTGCCTTGCATACGAACAACGAACTTTCAAAAGCTTCTATTTGTAATGCTGTTGAAAAGGTGATGCTATTTGTTAAAGTTTTGTAATCTGGGATTATATAATCGGCAAGAAATCATCAGTGTTCTTTTCTTCAAACACAAGACATCCTGCCTGACTCACCATGCCTGAAAGCATAATAGAAGGGCTCATTCCAAGTTCCAGACAGCAGATGCATACAGTTTGCAGTTGCAAAATTTACTGGTATGTAGGACATGCCCTTCTGCGACATTTAGTCATTATCATTTAGTCCAGTGCAAGGCCACAAAGACAATCGAGGGAGTGGAGCATCTCCCTTATGAGGAGCGGCTGAAGGAGCTGGGTCCCTTTAGCTTGGAGAAGAGGAGACTGAGGGGTGACCTCATTCATGTTTATAAATTTGTAAAGGGCGAGTGTCAGGAGGAAGGAGCCAGGCTCTTCTCAGTGACAGCCAATGACAGGACAGGGGGCAATGGGAGCAAGCTGGAGCATAGGAGGTTCAACCTGAACATGAGGAAAAACTTTTTTACTGTGAGGGTGACAGAGCACTGGAACAGGCTGCCCAGAGAGGTTGTGGAGTCTCCTTCTCTGGAGACATTCAAAACCAACCTGGATGCGTTCCTGTGTGACCTGGTCTAGGTGATCCTGCTCTGGTAGGGGGGTTGGACTGGATGATCTTTTGAGGTCCCTTCCAACTCCTGAGATTCTGAGATTCTGTGACCACAATGTCTCCTGCCATAGCATGGCTTTTGGATTTCCTCATTGGTTCTCAGCAACAGTAATTCGCCATTGCCTTTAAAACAGCCCTCCTCACTTAACACCAGTTCTGCCCCAACACATGGTCAGCAGGTATAAACTACACTGTAGTCTCAGCTGTACGAGACATACACAGTTATAGAGCAGGATGTTCCCTGAATGTATCTGTCTGGCATTACTTAGAGCTCTTCATACACAATGCAAACCACTGTGCACAGATTGACAGAACAGTTCTTTATAGTCAGGCACAAAAAGAAACAAATTATGGGTGGTACCAGAAAAATACTGCAGAATATATTATGCATTACATTTTAGTATTCCACATTAAAACAGAGTCTGTATTTTCAGAGTACTAAAAAAATTTTTGTTTTAATTCCAAATGTAAGATTTCTATTGTAACTAAAACTTCTAAAGTACATTTTAACCTTTAAAGTAAAAATCTGAAGAGATCAGCAAGGAATTACTTAATGCATTTCTGCTCATATATTAAAAAAAAACCATGACCCAAACACTCCAGAACTCCACAACTGGAGCAATTACTAACAGAATTTTTGGAATTCAGGAGCTTACTATAATTTTCAGTGTAATACCTCACAGTCACATATTAAGATACTCGGGAGAACCCAAAGAAAGTACCAGTGATCAATGATACCTTTTCTCCTTTCTGTTTTGGAACTACACGTTCTGACTCCTTATCACACTTGTTGCCCAACAGTATTACGTCCACTTCATCACCTGCTTTCTAAAAGAGAACCAGCATTAATAAGGGTCAAGTAAGAAAAAAGCAAACAACAAAAGCCCTTCACCTTCAGCTGACGCTAACCTTCAACACTTTATTTCCTTGAAAGTAAAGACTAAATTCTGTCCTGACTTTTTCACCTGTGGAAATATTTTCCATTAGTTACTGGGATTCAGAGGAAAACAGAAAGATTGCAAAGAGCAGAATAAAATCACTTACAAGAGCAGGGCATAATTTGCAACCTCTTTCATAAGGTAAAAAGTATATGGTGCATGGGCACCATCTTTTGATAAATGCTCCATCTTGAGGCTTTAAAGGGACTGGAAATGCCCCAAATTCACAGACACTGCCCTCCCTAAAGTAATGGGTTCATGGATTAGCATATTCATCTGGTCTACATCCAGCACTCACAAGTGAAAAAGAAGGAATTTACTGCACCTGAAAAAGCACCTCTCTGTGCTTCACTTTCACACACAGACAATAAAATTACATTCAAAGTGTTCAAACTCATCATAAAAGTTTGATTATTCCAAGACACTTGAAAGAGGGCAATAGATTTTTAATGAAGTAAAATTTAAAAACCTCATTGATTTCAAAAGGAAGAAAAATCTAGCTTTTTGACCTTGTCTCCATCCTTCATTCCACTAATCCAGTTACGTACATGATGACTATGAAAAGTACTGGATGCTTTACATCAGTGTTATTTTAAGATGAGCCATTGTGACTATACATGACAGGAATAATCACAAGAAAAGGGAATGGTTCTGCAACAGCATGTGGAATCTGAAAACTGACATTTGCTGTGAAAATCATAATATTTAAAACCCTTTTTGGTGCTTAAATGGTAGAAGCTGAGGGTCTCTAGATTATCTAGAGACAATTAAAGCTTGCGTGGTCTGACCCCATGGCTTATATTCTGAAAGCACATGCTCACACAGCTTCTCTGATGACTCAGAAAGCCTGGCCTCAGGATGCAGATCTTCTCTCTACAAGGACACTGATGAAATCTCTCAACTCCATCAAAGTGTTAGTTTTTATAACTTTGCCATAAGACAAACCCAGGCACAGACAGTTGTGCTCACACACACACACATGGACACATGTACCCCCTGTTCAGAGAAATGCAACGAAAAACCTCCATTCATTAAAAGATGAATCATTATTTGTAGTCTAGTTGCACTTTTACAAGTAAGTTGCCCCATTCGAGGAGTACAGCAGCAGGCACAATTTATTGGTAAGGACCACTATTTAATTTTTTTAATCCACTCTCATTTTAGACAGCTAATCTCATTTCATACCCACAGCTGATGTTCAAGATAATATGGTATTAAAATGAAGTAACCTCATCGTAAGAGCACAAAGTGCAGGCCTAAAATAATGAATCAATCTAACCTGGATTAATAGAGCAAAATGTTGGCTCTTTCAGAATGCACTGGAGCTTTACTCATTAAGGTCAATGGCTCTCCTACATAAAATCACATACATCAGTCCCTAAAGCAGGGTAAACAGACAATTTAATCTCATCACATAATCAACTTTTTATTTCAAAGAAGACTGTATGTAGCTGAAGGTTTCACAAGTGGCATTTGACTTCACTCTGAAGTAAAAGGTCAAATGATATTATCAAAACCACTAAATTCATCCTCTAACTTTATTCCTGCACAAATTTTTGCAACAGGAGTGTTTTTTTTCTAAACAACTTCAAATAATAACAAAATTTAAAGGAGGTTAGAGGCACCTAAGCCTTTCAGTAAATATTTATCAGTATCACTAATCAGTAAGAATTTATTTCAGAAAATAACTATAATTTCTACATTAATATAATGTAGTAATATATTTTCACTTTGACTGGATCCTCCATCAAATCACTGCAAGCACTTTTTTAAAAGATGATATCTTGCAGTTTCTTGCTTTTAGAAAACTACAGAATATACACCAAGTGACATCCATTTTACATTTTGAAAACTGATTATATAGAGGTAGTCTTGAAATAATTAAGTCAACATGACGAGGCAGAAGTTTGACCATGTGCTCAGTTGGCATAAAAATTGTAGAGGCGCACCGATTTGAATCGGCCAAAAATATGGCTCTTCAGTGCTTCCAAAAGCTGTGTATTTTCATCCTCTTTTATTTATAGCTCAGGAATAAGCTTTCCAAATGCAAGATCTATAGCTAAAAGAGGATGGTTATTTTATAGTTGTTAAGATGGTATTATGCCAGTCAGCACTGACTAAGCTAATAGAGTCAGGAAACTTTTTTTTTCCCATGTCATGGAAAAATACTACTGAAAATTTCACCAATTTCACCAAGGCAAAATAATTTATTTTTTTCTTGAGGAGTAAAAAAAAAAAAAATATTTTGCTTTGATATCTCAAAAATACATCCCGATTCTTCACACTGAAACTTAAAAATTATCTGAACTTGGACAAAACCTAGCCTATTTTTTTTTAGCCATCTAAAAAGGAAGCACTATATTTCTCTCAAAAAAAAAAAAAAATCGGAGTTGAGGGATTTATTCAGACTAACCAGGTTTTTTGAAGCGTTTGGCAGTCTGGAGTCACCAAGTTTTGGGAAAGGGTTTTTCCCCACTGGATTCCCCAGAAGCTGGATCCATCGCCGCAGTGGCAGGAGCCAGGCTGCTGTGACTGGTGGCCACAGGAGGGAGCAGCACCAGAGCCTCAAACGCAACAGTGCCAGGGACCGGATTAGGAGCACTGGACTCTGGCACCGTATCACCATGGTGCGCTTCAGCAGCCTGCTCTGATAGGAGCCATCCATCTCGGCCCTTCATTAATTACCCACCCTTTCACCTAGGCATGTGCACTCATCGCAGTAACTACCCAACTCACTGCTGGACCAGGCATGAACACAACTCAAGAATGCAAAAGGGAAAATACCTTGCTCATCCCAGTTGCATGCAATTTGTTGGTTTTAGGTTGGTTTTTTTAATGTTAGGTCTTTTTTTTTTCTGCTTCTGTTGTCATTTTGCAGAGAAAATATTTCACAGAAGTGCTGTGAATTCATGTGAGGATCAAAAGTAGGACAAACACCTACATCACATTTGTACTTACTGCTTATTGGGAGAAACTATCCCTGCTCTTTTCAAATAGCGAGTACAAACCCTGCTGTGAATGGCTGGCCTCAACCTCCCCTGCAGTGTACTGACTGTGATTACCCAAAGCTCAGTGACGTCCCTTGTTGTATCAAGCTGTCTATCCAGAATCACCACCTTGTCCCTCCACCACATTTGCAGGGTGTTGCTGTGCAGGGCTGTATGATTTTGATACTCATTTATTACAGTTTGAAAAAGGATCCGAAGTTTGTTTGTAGGCCCAACCAGTGAAATTGAAAACCCATACCTGGCAAATACACTACGGAAATATTTACTTATTTAGTTTGTATTTGAGGAAGAAACATAGCATTAATAGAATTATTCAGATCTGAAGAGGATACACATGGTCATGTAGCAAGATGAAGGCAGAGCTGGGGAAAGCCATAAAGCTGGGAAGTTTCTTCTTCCTACTCACTAGGCAATGACACTAGAAACTGATCCTTTGTATTAATGAAGAGTAATTTGTTAGGAATACACTGTCCTCAGTCTCTCTGACAGCCTCACATGGGCAAGGTTTGTATTATGATTCCCATATATGTCTCTTTCCATACATTTTTTTAAGTACCACCTTATGGCCTCAGTTACAAACGCCTAGTTGCCAGTACTCCACTGGAATTAAACAAATTATAGAATTTGTCTATTAGCAAACTTAGACATGTCTGGATATAAACCAGGTTATCCTCAAACCAATCCGGGATGAGAGATAAACCAATTTAGTAAAGTGACAAGAACAGGAATTTTCAGTTCTAATCAGAGTCATAACAACAAACCCATCTATGAACTGGAACAACTTGATCCTTTTGGCATCAAACCTTCTCATCTGAGGAAGAAAGACTCAGAAGAGTTTGAAGTCAAACTAATTTACTTTGGTAAAGCAGTTTGCTGTGGTGCTTATTTAAGTATGGTGCAGAAAAAATGAAAGACAGCCCAGTACCCCAACTCTCAGATGCATCAAATGAACAGAACCAGAAAAGGGCACTATGCAAAAATGCCAGCACCCAACACATACATACATTTCATACCCTGGTTGAGGGGTGACTTCTTTCAGATAGCATAAAAGAAAGCTAATATATTCCAAGGACACTAATTATGTCCCAAGACTTGCTACTGTGTGAGAAAATGAATCTATCTTCCCCATGCAGAACATTCTGTGCTAGCGGAGAATTTCCAGCATGGACAGAATTTTTAGGAACTGGTAACGCCATCTTCATGGCCACACCAGAAGACTAGCACAGTGGAAACCAGTCCAATGTGTTTAAAAGAAAACTAGGACCTACCGTGTATGTCAAAAGTTTTTGGATATCCAGATGCCATGTATGAATCAAGGAGTGATTTAGGTTGGCAAGTAATCAGGTCCAGCTGTCTGCTCAAAGAAGGGCCAACTTCAGTGTCAGGTCAGGTTGCTCAAGGCCCCACTGAGTTTTAGATATATCCAAGGACAGCGATCTCTGATCCTCTCTGGGTACCTATTTGAGCATTTGACCACTCTGTTGTGAGGAACTTTTTGCCAATATGTTAGTTGGGATCTTGTTCAAAACATCCTGGAAAGAACTGTTTTCTGCAAGTGGATTTGGTACATGGTTACCTGTATTTAATTTTTAAAGGCCAAACCAAGTCAGGCTTCTAGAACAGCTGCACACAACAGCTAAAAGCCATGTCAGCAAACAAGAGAAACACCTTGATAAATTGGACATCACACGCAATCCTACAAATGCAGAATCTCTTCAGGTTCTAAAGTAACGTTCCTGCAACTATCACGCTCCTAATGAGTGCATTACAAATTCAATATACCTGTACTGGATTTGCCAATAATGTCCTAACATATTGATCTGCAAGTATATTTTTATAGTAAGTTTTTTAAAGTGCAATCATGTTACTTAGTTCCCTCTAGCTCTGAATACAAATATTACAACGATACAGATACGGCAGCATATTTATGTCTTGAACTTCCGTGGACAATAGCTCATTTTTAACAGGAAAGTTGCTGTATTCCACACTTAAAATAATTGAAATACAATGAGAACATCCTGGTAATCTGATTGGAATAGCATTGACTGGCCAGTTTTTATAAAATCAATGGAGTTTTTAGGAATGCTAAATTGCTTAGATTGATATTTTCAATTGTTGTAAAAATGGCTTAGTACATTTTTAAAAACAGATTTTTTTTTAAACAGAGCAGATTTTTAAAAACCTTTCTTTCTATTTAAAATCTCTATGTACAAAGAATTTTAAAATGAGAACATAAAGTAATAACTGAATGTCTCAAAAAAATACTGTTTGTTTGGTTCAGGTGCAAGCTTTACATTACCCACTAGTCTGGTGTTTAACGAAACTGCACATTTTTAAGGGTGCTGTAGCAACAGCCACTTTGATACTGGGCACTTGTGGCAAATTAAATACTGGTTTGCATTTACAGACCAAAGCAAATGCAAGGAATGTCACCAACCTTGAGCAAGTAATTAATTTTCATGAAATGCCCTATGTTTTAACAATTATTGCTTTAAAACACTTCTTTTGCAATGAATGGCCCCATATATTTTCGCCAAGACATTTCAGAAATTGATGTCCCACTAGGACTAAATTAAATTTTTTATTATTATCTAGCTCCATTATACAACACTCGCTAATTGCTAGTTTTGAGATTGGTGCAATTGATCATGCAATTTACATTTCCAGAAATTGTTCTGAACTGAGTATTTTTTCATTTTTTAAATTTTAAACTAACAAAGTAGCTTCAGGGGTTAAGATTAAACAATTTAGGTATTAATAGCTTGAGTATGTTTACACAAAAGCTTTGAAGTGTCATCAGAAGAAAGCAGGCTCGTGCAGGTGTGATTTCCTGACTGACTTCAGCAGACCTAAGCCTGCACAGTGGCTACAAGAGCTACTCCTGTCCTTCCCTCCACCCCAGCCATATGGTCCTCATACTTTCTTTGTGCTTGTGCATTGTAGCCCACTGAATCAACCATCCTGTTGATCTAATTAAAGATGATAGCACAAAATGACTCCTTTGAAGGCAATATGAAGGTAGGTCAGTATTTTTTATACGTACACACACACGCACACACACAGATTGATAGACACACACGTGTGTGTATATATACGTGTTAAAATTGGTATATATGGGTAATTACATTTTCAGCTTAAGATAACAGTAAATCTGCTACCATAGTGTGCACTGAATTAAATCTTAGCTAACCACGAAACAGTACAACTAGTGGCATATCTAGCTGTGACTGCTGTCAGTCCTCCCCAGCACGAGAAGGGCATCCATTTTTCTTATTAAAAAATAAAACACGACTGTTAGTTTGAAGTGTGTGCAGACAAGCCAGTAAGAATATTATATAATCATATTTCCTTTGTAACACATTATTGAAGTTAGGCTCTGCTGCCTCTAAGACTTTTAAGATGAATCTAAGGTCAAGGATAACGACGTACTGGGTCACCACAGTAATGTTCTTAATACTGAGGTAATGGAAATGTAATGTTTTACCAACAGTATAAGATACCCTATGTATATATTATTGGATATATGACCATGTATAGTCCATTAATTCATCCATATACTGAAGCTGTGAAGAGAGAAAAGGATGCATTTGATGGTTTTATTTTGAGCCTGCTTTCCCAAGATGAACTCTCCCATCCATCATGGCATATTCCTACCAGTTCAAAGAGTATTATAAAAAAACTGCCTGAATCTTTACTTGATTTTAATCAAAGAGCCCTGTCTTGTTTGGATTCTTACACAAGCATACTACCTTATACAAGCATGCTAACAACAAACATCCATGTAACTGCCTAGGGTAACCTCATTGGAGGGGAAGTGGAGAGGGAGGTGCTGATCTCTTCTCCGTGGTACCCAGTGACAGGATGTGTGGGAATGGTTCAAAACTGCATCAGGACAGATTTAGACTGGACATCAGGAAACACTTCCTTACTAAGAGGGTGGTCAGACACTGGAACAGGCTTCCTAGAGAGAGGGTCGATGCCCCAAGCCTGTCAGTGTTTAAGAGGCATTTGGAAAATGCTCTCAAAAACATGGTTTAACTTTCAGCCAGCCCTGAAGTGCTGAGGCAGTTGGATGAGATGACCATTGTAGGTCCCTTCCAACTGAACAATTCTATTCCAAAACTGACATGCCTCTACCTAGCAGAGAAGATACCAAGAGAGACCTAGCAGTACAGACTCAGTATACAGTTACAGGCAGCTGAATGATCTGATATCTAAGGGCTTACCCAGTCCTCCCTTCCTTCCCTCACACTGTTCTCACATGTTCTTCTCCTAACCTTCCTAATCCTACAGGTTTACATTGTGCCAACTCCAGTAACTGTCAGACTTCTCCACGAACCTCTTAAATGCCCTGATGGAACAGAAAACCATCCAACTGGTTTTGCTGTGTTAGTTTTCTACCATGTTAGAAAGTCAGAGTAAACCTCAGAGGCCTCTGACAAGCTCCAGAAGCAGCACAGCGGAAGCCAATGCCCAGAAGCAGGAAGGGAGGTAGGAGCACACTCCCCGTCTGGCAGCCACGTGCTGTTGAATCACTTCCTATGCTGCTTGAGAGCACATGTTTCTGGCTGCAGCACCATAAGCAGCTGAGCTAACCAATCAGCTCACTGCCACCAAAAAGGGATTCTCCTTTTCCTCCCCCTTGAAACTTTCCTCTCAAAGGGAATATCCAGCAAAAATGAAAAGGATGTTTCATTTGATTTGTTTCATTTGATTCTTGGGATGAAGTAACTGCACTAAAGTAAGGAAACCAGGAAAGGGACTGATTGAGATATGGAATTTTGACATGGAAGCCAATTAAAATCCCGAGATAAGCTCAGGGAAACTGGCTTGTGCATAGCTGTGCTGGTGACAGAAGCACCGTAACTCTGTATGTGCAAAACCAGACTGGAAGCTATGTTTTAAATGTGCTTCAGAAAACACTTCTGCATCACCAAGGGATTGTCCTGGGTAGTCTACACTGTCTTTCAGTTTCACTACTATAACACAATGTGTTAAATGTAACTTAGATGTTAGAAATTGTGCTTAGAAACATATAACTCAAGGAAGAAGAATAAATTTCATGCATTTAAAGCATTAATTGCAGTAACTCATTAACTGCCTTCGTTAAGAGGTCAACCACTGTTAGATATATTTACCTCATGTATATCTTTCATCCAGCCTGTTACACCTTGAAAACTGTCCAGATTTGTGATGTCATATACAAGAACAAAGCCTTGTGCGCCACGAAAATAGCTAGTACTAAGTGTATGGAAGCGTTCCTGGCCAGCAGTATCCCTGAAAGAAATTGTAAGAAATCAACAATAACAAAAAATTAAACATGAACAAGCTGCCAAATCCTCCTCCCAAGAAAAATTACTTTATTTTACGAAGTATTGTCCAAATTTTTAATGTTGTACCCTAACATGAAAGGAACAAGAAAAGGATGGGAGAAAATCTGGGTGCCAGATACAACAGTGAAAGAAATACACTGAAAATTTATTTTGAACTATAAGCCCTATTAGAAAAGGTAAATCAGTGGTTAAAGTCTGAGTGTAACTTCAAGCCCACCATTGCTTCTTTACATATAGTAAATTAGCAAGACTGTTACAATGCATATGATAAAAAAAATTCACGAGTACAAGCATTGCAGGAGTCAGATGAAATCCTACAAGCCCTTTGTAAACTCTAACACTGTCAGTCAGCTGGTTTAGATGAAAAATCTAAGGTTTTGGGGAAAAGTCATAAAACACAAGGATGCAGAGATTCCTACACATAATCACAGAATCAGAGAATCACTGAAGTTGGAAGAGACCTCTAAGATCATCAAGTCCAACCATCAACTTCACACCACTGTGCCCAGTAAACCATGTCCTGAAGTGCCATACCCACACGCTTTTTTAACGCCTCCAGGGATGGTGACTCCACCACCTCCCTGGGCAACCTGTTCACATGTTTGACCACTCTTCCAGTAAAGGAATTGTTTCCTAATTTCCAATCTAACCCTTCCCTGATGTAACTTGAGGCCATTTCCTCTTGTCTTATCATCTGTTACCTGGGAGAAGAGACCAACAGTAGTTGTAGAGAGCAATAACGTCTCACCTCAGCCTCCTTTTCTCCAGGCTAAACAACCCCAGCTCCCTCAGCTGCTCCTCACAAGGTTTGTGCTCCAGAACCCTTCATCAGCTTTGTTGCCCTCCTCTGGACACACTCCAGTGCCTCAATGTCCCTCTTGTAATGAGGGGCCCAAAACTGAACACAGTATTCAAGGTGCAGCCTCAACAGTGCTGAGTACAGGGGAACAATCACTTCCCTACGCCTGCTGGCCACACTATTTCTGATACAAGCCAGGATGCTATTAGAAACAATTTAGTAAGACACTTCAGTGCCCTTTAGTAAGACACACAATTAAAAGCGGATGAGATTTTTCATGCTGTAATGCAATTTAGTTGGCTCTCTTTTGTGACACAAATGAAAACTTACCATATTTGAAGTTTCACTCTTGTACCATTAAACGTTACTGGCTTTACTTTAAAATCAATGCCTAGGAGAAAGAAGAAAAACTGTAACACTTCTTATAATAACATGGATTCCTTTGAAGATTGTTAGTTCTAGTTATCATGCAATTTTGAACAGAAAGTGAAAAGGAACTTTATCAAAGAATAACTAGCCAACCATACACATTCAAAATGAAAGTTGTAAAAAGGAATTATCCAGTGGTGAACACAACTATGTGCCAGTGTATTACACAAGTACAACACAAAGCAATGCCAAGACAAAGCAATGGAGGGGTATGTCAAAGCAAAGGTGCAGGTACTTTAAAACTATGTGTACGTGTTTCCATGAATAGCAGAGTGACATGACAGCAGTTTCTCGGCCTATGCATGATAACACTTGACAAATATATTGGTGATTTCAGCTGCTTCTGTTTTCATCACAAAAGCATGGCAGCTATGAACGGGGAGGCAGAAATGCTTACAGAGCTGTGGCATGTACAACGTCATTTTTCCATCCTAACTTCCAATCCCTAAAAAAATTAAATATCTAGGGTTACATGGACAGGAAGATAACTTAGCTGTACTAGTTCAATGCAAAGATAAACATACACTGAATTTCATTCAAAATGAAGAGGACTGTCTCTACAGCCTTAATCTCTGTGTATCCCAGATCCAGAGTGCCAATACTAAAATCAGGCATTAGCACTTGAAATCAGTGCAGAATATTGTCTCTACATACATGACAGATCTTTCCTCAAATATACTTTTCCTTATAATTTATAGTGTTTTCCCTTATTATATTATCAAATTAGTACTATAAATGTGGTAGATGATACCTGGATTTATGGCTTGTTCAAGCTCCAAACTTAATATTAGAATCTGCCAGCTGTAAGCTGCTATCTTAGAGTGACACATTTCCTCACAGTTAACTATCTTTTTTCCAACTACTTTACTGCTGAAATGTGAAACAGCATTTGACAATTTCTATGCCCATTTTTTCTTTCCACTGAAAAACAGTAAGACTATTTTTGTCCATTAGCGTAAGTGAAGTTAAGGTGACATTGCGATAGCTGACCAAAACTGCATGGTCAAAATTCCGTAAGGTCAAAATATGGCTACTTAATGTGACTTTTCAGCTCTAGTAATGTTATTTGAAAGAACTAAACAGACTGAAAAAGCACAAAAATTTTAAGTTAATACCACTGCACTGATTTCTGCAAGAACCTGTCTGCCAAATTACTTCATCAAAGGAAAGCATCCATGGCACTAAACCAAAAATGCAGGAGAGGAGAAGCTCCTTTCCTTTTTCCTGCCAGATGTGTTGTGCACAAAACTTTGACAAGTATACTCTCACATGCATGATTTCCAGTGCTATTAACATTTTTGTGTGTATGTGGTG